GCAGAAACACCATACAGTAACTGACTGCAAGTTTTGATGATGCAATTTGGGAGTTCTGATTGACTAAAAGCCACCTGGATAAGTCACTCCACCATAGCTACATGTATGTATTTCATCAAATAAAGAGTTTGTCACTCCTACTAGGCCGTCAATAATTAAAAACAATGATTTTGTGAAATAATGTATTTACATAGTTGGGTGATAGTTCAGGAAGACTGCCATCAACTCCATCGTCAACCACTGCCACCCAAATTCCTTTCCCTGTGTAGCCTGCTTTCCAAGCTGACAAAATATTGTATGTTGGCTCAGTAGATCCAGCAGGCCTCTTCTAATAAAGAAAAAAAAAACAGCTCCTTTAAAAAATATTGTTCATATTTGAGACATTATATCGTAGACACTAAAGGGATGTAAAATTGTTAAATTAATGACCTAAACTGGTTTGAAAGAGAGCAAAAAAGCTATAAGAAGGAACTTACAATGTACCACTGCTCATCAAACCTTGGATCACTCAAACTTTTGGAAAAAAGTTCGTACTTTTTCTCTTTCTGGTGCATAAACCATTCTACCTGTAAATGATACAGAAATTAAGTAAACATAAAAACTTAGTTTTAAGGCTTAAGCAAGATGGCTGTCAAAAAGTTTGGAAATAGCACCAAAATAAGGAAATAGAGAAGGCCACAAAGTTTTTTTGTCAATTACATGCAAGACTGAGAACTACCTAGAGAAAATGTTCCAATATCCAGCTCAAAGAAGCAAATTCTGAACATGGAATCAATTCACACATCTGAACCTGTTACTGATAAATTGTGTCTGGCGGTTGCTGTTTTGTCCATCATCCTGATATGATTTAAGAAGCATCTACACTTGGTGGGTTTGTTGAGTACAATGGTAGGTGACTATCAAAATTCAGGTCCAAATACTCAGCCCTTATCAATATTGCCAAATTATTGTGATGATGATTTACCTGTGGTTCAAATTCCAGCTTTCTGTCAATCTCTAATGATAATTGGGTCTTAACTGACCTGTTCTCCAACTCAGGTCTTTTGAAGACATGGTAATCCTGAAAGAGCTGAAGACATGATAAAATATCAAGATTAAAACTGTCATCCCAGTAATAAATTCCTCTTATTAACTGAGTTCAAAGTCTGTTCTGTAAGTTATATACTATGTTTTTTCCACTTGGTGCAAGTGCAAAGTAAGTGCAAAGCAAATAAATCTGTGTGCAAAAACAAGGTTCTGTAACTCACAGTATGGACAGAGAACACAAGGTTAATCAAAAGTATAACAAAATTCTCAAACATGATAAGGTATCACCAGGCTGATTTGAACATTAATAGGACAGTATAGGCATCATGCTTGTAATTGGACAGTGTAAAAGGGTAATTGACACATCATGCCTGTGTAAGTGAACAGTGTGTGTGCATGCACATGTCTTGCATTTTGCCTAATTAATTGTTGCATTTTTATGAAAAACATATAATTGAAGTATAGTTTCTTTCTCAGATTTTGTCAGAGTCTAGCTTAACCGGTAACATTAACAGCACTTCTTGTCATCCAAATCAGACTCCTGCTTCA